TGGCAGGTTAAACACCTGTGAAGCAGGATACTAAGGAGAAGAAACCTGAAGCCAAGAAGGCTGATGCCAGTGGCAAGGTTAAAAGGGTGACACCAAGGATAAAAAGTCCAAAAAGGGGAAGCCCCATTACAGCCGAAACCCCATCCTAGTCCGGGGCAGCGGCAGATACTCCCAGTCTGCCACGTCTTCCAGGAAGGCCATGTACAAGAGGAAATATTCAGCCATTAAATCCAGGATCGCAAAGAAAAAGGAGATCAACAAAACCAGCTGGTGGAGACAGGAATGGTGGTACCCAGGTGGTTAAACTGTGCAAAATGTCTAGGTATTACCCTACTGAAGATGTGCCTCAAAAGCAGATGAGCCATGGCAAATAACCCTCCACTCAGCATGTGAGAAAGTTGCAAGCTAGCACCATTCCTGGGACCATTCTGACATCCTCACTAGATGCCAAGGAGGCAAGAGAGTGGTTTTCCTGAAGCAGCTGAGCCGTGGCTTGCTACTTGTAGCTAGGCCACTGGTTCTCAATCGAGTCCCACTGCATAGAACACACTAAAAATTTGTCATCACCACCTCCACGAAAATTGGTATTAGCAAAGTAAAAATCCCAAAGCACGTTACCGATGCTTACTTCCAAAAAAAGCAACTGTGGAAGCCCTGGGGAGGTGAGATCTTTGACACAGAGAAAGAGAAATAAGAGATTTCAGAGCAGTGCAAGGTTGATCAGAAAGCTGTAGACTCACAAACTTTACCAAAAATCAAAGTTGTTCCTCAGCTCCAGGGCTACCTGCGATCGGTGTTTGCCCTTACAAATGTTTATCCTCACAAATTGGTGTTCTAAATGTTTTGCCAAGAACCTAATTAAATAACTGACCGTATATAAAAAAAAAAAATCCTCACCAGCAAAGGTAGCATCTCTGACTACATAATTGTCAGTGGACAGTTCCATATCTTTCTCAATGGGCCAGTTTTGCAAAGTAGTCATGGAAGCAATGACCTTCAACCAAACAGCTTTAGAAAACACTTGAACCAAGACTTGACCCTCTTGCTCCCAGTCTAGCCAGAAGCCAGGATAAGCCAATCAGCAGCCATTGGTATTTGAGTTCTAAGTGACCCCATTCAGGCAGTATGACCATGGAAGACCCTCTGCCCAGACTTCACTCTCCTGCTGCCCAGATCTAGCCAGGAGTCAGACTGTAGGTCACCTCCTCCTGTCTCCCACTAAATACTCAGATTTCACTCCAAAAACGAGGGAAAAACATATAATCCATCGGATGACCAGAAACCACCACAGAGGCACAAGAAATATGAGAAACCAAGAAAATATCTCTCCTCTAAAGAAAAGAATGTAACTCCTCTTCCTCCACAGAGAATACAAGGGAACTCATAGAAATGTCAGATAAATAATTTAAAATATTCATAGTGACAAAGCTAACAGAGATACAAAAGAAGAGAGAAAACAAACTCCAGAAGATGCAGGAGAAAAGAGACACCGAATTCCAGGAAGTGAGCATGCTACGATCTGAAAGAGGAGATACACATCATAAAAAAGACACCGAATTGTTAGAGATAACGGCTATAATACAGAAAATCAAAACTTCGGTTGAAAATACCAAAAGCAGATTAGATCATGCAGAAGACTGAATCTCAGATGTACAAGACAGAATCTCTGACCTAGAAAAATTCACCAAAAAGACTGAACTAGTGAAATAGAATTGTTTTTTTACTTTTGACTAAAACATTACCGATTTTCTTCAATACTTCGATTTCCATATCTAAGGATTTTTGTCTTCTCTTGAACTGTTGATAGGTTCATCTACCTACTATTTGAACTGAATCTTAACCTTTTTCCTAGCTTTAAGTTTTAAGCAAATTTCTCTTAATATTTTTTTTATTTTTATCGATTAAAACCGAAACTGTTTTTCTTGAAATTAAAAAATGCAATAAAAAATACCAGTTAATACCTATTTAATGACTACAGTAAGCTATATAGCCCCAGTGAGGTGCTACTTCATAGTATGTTCACTTTACTCCCTGAGGTTTACGCTTAAAGTCAGACATGCATTCTTAAACATGTATATATCAGCTGTGCTTGCTATTGAAAGTTTTTAACTTAATTAAGATCTTTAATGAATCAATAAAATGTGAAAAAAAAAAAGGCATGGAAAACAACTGTACATACCAGAGACAATGTAGGAGAAGGGGGGAATTGGCAGAAGGTGAGACGTAGGGAATCAAGGGGGAAAAGAAAAACCAAAATATATAAGAAACAAGAAATAGAAAATTATTTGTCGATAACACGTATGGTAATATCCTTGATTGAGCCAATACGCAATGTACTCTGGATGGAAAGGCTCATTTTGTATACTGTACTGATGTACAGTGAGTGACTCTAAATAAATAAAATTTCTTTAATGTGGAAAAAGAAAACACTTGAACCCATCACCCTGAAACCTGATGCCTGAGGTTCCAAGATAGAACTTCTATAATGAGGGACTTGGTTGGGTTAGGGGAACAGAACACCATTTAAACACTGTCCTGACGGGGGAAAGCTAGTAGCCTCTGGCCCTGTTTCACTATTTCGCCGGGCTACAGTGTAAGGAAATCCACATTGAGGAGAGTCATTTACTAGGTCCCATTTGTTAGGGACCTGCTCAGGACAGACTACATTCATCCTGAGGTCTCAGCCATCTTGCCCGTCTCATCCTCACCCACTCATCTCTACAATCACTTCCTAGTCTGCCATCAAAACCTGATGTCGGGAACCAGCAGTTAGCGTAATGGCTATGTCGCTGGACTCCCACGTAGTCGACCGCGGTTGGTGTCCCGGACCCGGTGGCTTAAAAAACTCACGCCGGGCGCGTGTGCGTGCAGGCCCAAGATCCCAAGAGGAGAATGGAGGAGAAGGGATGGCGGCATGACCATCCCCCCTGGGGGGCGATTTCTCGCTTTCTGTCTCTATGTCTCTCTCTGTCTGTCTGGCGAGCGCACACGCCCTACAGTGAAAATCTCTCCAAAAAAAAAAAAAAACCTGATGTCAACTTTTTCTCTTTGGCAACAACCATTTTTGTGTCACCTTTGTGGTGGGGTGGTATTTGGCTCTCTCAGTAAATCACAAGCTTTTCATAAACAGAAACTTCATTTTTTTCCCCAAAAACAATAGCAGATAGAATGCCACGATGATAAAAAATATAATAAGTACTGGTAAATAAATGTCAAATAATAAATTTTATGTCAAATTTCTAGTCAGATGATTCCAGACTTCAGAATTGGTGGGACCAGCAGTTAGCGTAATGGCTATGTCGCTGGGCTCCCACATAGTCCACCGCAGTTTGAATCCTGGATCTGGTGGCTTAAACTCACGCCGGGCGCGTATGTATGCACGTGTCCAAGATCCCGAGAGGTGAATGGAGGAGAAGGGATTGCAGCATAGCCATCCCTCCTGAGGGGTGATTTCTCGTTTTCTGTCTCTCTGTCTCTCTCGGTCTTTCTGGCGAACACACACACCAGAAACCTCTCCAAAACAAACAACAACAACAAAAAAAAAAAAAACAGGAATTGGCAAAGTTAATGACCTAGGTAAAAGAAAATATTATTAAGGAAAAAAATGCCAGGTAGGTCTGCAGGCAGACCAAAGCAATTAGGGTATTATGACTATGCAAATGTGCCCAGTGGTGTCCTCATTTATATCACATCATGTGACGTTAAGTAAAATGGTGATGGGCCAACTTGGCCATATGTGGGACCACTGTACCTTAAGTAGGGGGGGTGGACATTAGAGAATCTCACCATGCTCAACTGAGTTGCTATGAGCCCCGTGAGACCGACTCAGAGCTGATGGGTAAGTACTGGTATGCCACGCTGAGTGACAAAATAGGGAAGCCTCTTCCTTCCAGCTGGTGCACAGCTGCCCCCCGATCCCCAACAGAGCCCTCTGCCACCCTCCAAATCAGGACCATAAGATCTCCCTGAGAAGCTGCTTAGAACAGCTTAAAGCCTCCGGAAACCATTTTGATAGGTCTGGCCTGTGCCAAACTAATTGCTAAATATTTTGCCTATCTGTTCTATTCCTATTCAAATAACTGTAATCAAATATCTATGTCATAAATAGGGAGGAGAATGCCGACTGCTGAAATAATTATAACAGAAATAGATGGCATTAAGCTCATGTGAATCAAATCAGTAAATAACTTGTAGAATAATATCAAAATTTATAATATTCTTAGTAAGTTAGAGGAGTCAGAAGAAATCGTCTTAATTCGAATTGGTCTGCATTTGAAGGGTAACATGCACGGATGATACTGGATGCAAAAGGAAGCTAAACAATTGCAAAATTGTAAATGAACTGTAACTGAATGGCTAAAATAAAATGAGAAGTCAGGAAGCAGCAAATCCCAACAGTAGGTTAGGAGCCATTGTACAGCGTGGTGAAGATAGCTAACGGCGGAATTCTGTACACATTGGAATTATTAAGGGAATAAATTTCAAATGTTCTCATCAGAAAAATATGTTAAGTATCTGACGTAATGTGTTAACTAGCTTGATTTAATTATTCCACATTGTATTCATAAACCATAATATTCACTTCATAATCTATAAATATACACAATTATAAAATGTCATTTACAATCATTTTTTTTAAAGCGTCAACTGGTGGTGCGGTGGTGAAGGCACTGAATCTCATGTGGTCAACTGCACCATTCAGACCCAGTGGCTTGAAAAATACACCAGGTGTTGTGTGCATGTGTGCCCAAATCCCGAGAGCAGAAATGATTGCATGGCCATCCCTCATAGGAGGTGCTTCCTCACTTTCTCTCTTTCTTCATCTCTCTCCAGTGAGTACATGTACCCTATAGCAAATTTAAAAAAATAAATAGCAAAAAATAAATCAATAAATAACAAAAGAGAATCATGAGCTAGCCTTATCATTACTCTAATGAATGTAAGGTATTGATAAGCTTATCTATCTCACTTTTAAAATGTGTGCTTTCAGGGGCCAGTAGATGGCATAGCAGTTGCTTGAAACTCAAACCAGGCACATGTGTGTGCATGCCCAAGATTCCGGGATGAAAATGGAGGAGAAGGGACTGCAGCATGGCCATCCCCGTGGGGTGATTTCTCACTTTACCTCTCACTCTCACTCTCCCTCTCTCTCATTCTCCCCCTACCCCCCCCACGAGCACATGTGCCCTAAAGCAAAAACCTACAAAAAAATATAAAAATGGGGACCAGCAGAGGGCGTAATGGCTACATCACTGGACTCCCACGTAGCTGACTGTGGTTCGAGTCTCGGACCCAGAGGCTTAAACTCACACCAGGGTCACGTGCACACATGCCCTACATCCCAAGAGGAGAATTGGAGGAGAAGGGATTGCGGCATGGCCATCCCACCAGGGGGTGATTTCTTGTTTTCTGTCTCTCTGTCTTTCTGGCAAATGCACCCACCCTATAGAAAAAACCTCTCCTAAAGAAAGAAAGAAAGAAAGTGTAATTTCAGCAGTAAACTGCGGATTATCACCAAATGATTTATAAGAGGGATGAGAAACCTTTAAAAAACTAATGGAAAATTTAAGGTATTGTAATATATACCCCTTTAAGTACAATGGCTGTATCAACTATCTTGAGTGAAAGCAAAGCAAAAGGAAATAGTTTTCATCTATTTCACAGCAGATACAAAGAATGACTCTAGGATGGATTATTGAAAGTGGTTGGTGAATTTCTAATGAGATTTCAAAATAGGATAGGTAATCATGTGTTTAGATGAAGAAATAAAATATTTTTAAAGGAAGAACATGAATCTAAGTATTTCCCCTTTACTGTATAGAGTTACAGATTATATAACTGGTACTAAGTCACATGTGTAGTCCATTCAATTCTATCCTAGCACCTCAGAACATGTCATAATTTCATGGCATGAATCCATGCTACAAGATAACAATATTTTAATGAATTACTATGAAAGACTCAAATAATTCACCTTCTTAAATTAAAGATACATTCACCTTATTACTAATTCTGTACCACAAAAGGACACTTCTATCTCTATTACTTCAAAATATACCTGTAATAATGATCATGGCAAAAGATGCAAATTCAGTGTCATCCTTGCCCTTCACAATCTCAGCTCCCCCTTGAGGGTCCGTAAGAAACACGTAGAAGAATTCCTGCCCCTCCGGCTCATCGTCATCCAAAATTTGAATTGACACTTTACGTTCACTTTCTCCCTCAAGAAATGTAAGGATAAGAGTTTGTTCTTCAAAATCTTCTTCCTCAATTGCCCATGTTAGGTTAGAAATTTCATAGATATCATGAAAGGGCAAGGTATTGGGTTCCTCCTGAGCACATCTTTGACCATAAGTTTTAACCGTTACACTGACATTGCCAGTAAGTCCACCAGTCCTTCGAATAAGAATGTCTGCCATATTGAATGTACCATTCTTCATCTCCTCTTCAACATAAATAATGGATGGCCCAAGACTAAATGTTCCATGAATAGAAACACTGACGGTTACAGTGGCCACATCTGGCTTCTCAGCCATGGCAGTTGTATCATGAAGGGTGACAAGTGTCTCAGGGAAGGCAGATATGTCAGTTGCCTCAGTCACAATGGCAACCATTTCGGTTGGCCGCACAGTGGCAGTTATCGGGCTTGTGCCAGGGTGTGTGGTAGAGTCAGTTTCCACAGGAGTGAGAGCTGTGTCAACTGCTACAGCCATAGTTGTTGTGGGAAAAGAAACATCCGTATCTGCCAGGTCATCATTGTCTAATATTGTGATCACTGCAACACTGAAGTCTAGATTCAGGCGTGGTCTCCAATCAGCATCAAACTGTTGTAATCTTGTAATTTCTACTGAAGTAAGATTAACGTAAAACAATTCTTCCACCTCAGGAAGCTGATCATTAACGATGGTTATTTCAAAATCAACCTCAGCTTGGAATTTTTGAAAAAATAGTTCCCCATTCTGAATAGGCTCAAAGTCTTCCAGTGGTGTGGCGCTTCCTGCAGTTGTCTGATAGGAAACTTTGATAAGGTCACTGTGAAACCCAAATAATCTTTGTACATGTAATTTGATCATCTGTGAATCTTCTGACACTATGATATTTCTTGAACTAGGAGAAAATTGGAAGACTCCCATTGGTTCAATTTCAGCAACAGTGAAACCTGATCTGGAAATAAATAAAAAAAAAAAAAAAAAAAGAAGTTAAACCATGAGACAATGGGTGAGAAAGAGGAAAGCCACTGTAGAGATTTATCTGCCAATGTCTGAGATGCTGCTCAATGACATCCCTTCTCAACTCTACAAAATCTTACTTAACTATCAATAAAAATACCAGACCACAAGAACAAGAGCTGCCGGGCTCAGCAGATGGCATAATCATTATGTCAATGGACTCCCACATAGTTGACTGCAGTTCAAGTTCTGGACCTGGTGGCCTAAAACTCACACCAGGCACAACTGTGTGCATACCCAATACCCAAGAGGAGAATGGAGGAAAAAGGATTATGGTGCAGCAATCCCCACCTGAGGAACGTGATTTCTCACTCTGTCTCTATGCCTCTCTCTGTCAAGTATACAAGCCCTATAGAAAAAAATCTCTCTTTAAAAAAAAAAAAAAAGAAAAGAAAAGTAGCTGCCACAGTGGGGACAGGACCTAACAAGTCTTAACTTGATGAAAAGCACCCAGGTCTCTGGTTGCTTCTCCATCACTTCAGAACAGCTGTCTGAAGGATGTGAAACACCAAATTCTCTCCTACAATCATTATGAGGGGATCAAAACCACTGTGATGCTCCGGAAATCAGTCAATTTTCTTATCTACCAAATAGAAATAGTTACCAGCAGGAGGAACAAAATCCTGGCTTCCCTCAAGTGCCAATGATGGAACTATCCTCTCACACATAGGTTGCCTAACTTCATTTATAAACTGGAAGAAACATCATGGTTGAACAATGTGTCTTTAGCGTTCTCCTATGAATTACTAGTTACTTCAGATGTTACACATTGCCTGAGTGTGACTGTAGAGGTACTTTCTTTATGGTTCTTTTGTTTTTGAAATGTAAATCTGAAGCCTTCAGGAAGGGACTCTCCAGGTCTCAGCAGTCCCCATTGTCAAGTACCAATCACTGGTTCCCACATAAAATAGGGGGTAAGAACCCAGCAGTGGCCAGACAGCCTGGGCTCAAATCATAGCCCCAACACTTACTGAGTTCTTTACGTTATCGATTGATGACTTGCTATCTTCACCTGTAAAGTGAGACAAATATTATCTAGCTAACATGGTTATTATTGTTGGGAAGAATAAATAAAAACACATACACATACACAGTTGACCCTTGAAGAAGGTTTAAGGGTGCTGACTCCCCTCACAGTAAAAATCTGTGTACATCTTTGGACTCCCCCTAAACTTGACTCCTAATAGCCTACTGATAACCAGAAGCCTTACTGACAACACAGTTAATAAAAACACATTCGGTATTGGGACCAGCAGTTAGCGTAATGGCTATGTCGCTCGACTCCCATGTAGTAGTCAACCATAGTTCACATCCCGGACCTGGTGGCTTAAAACTCACACCGGGCACACGTGCATGCATGCCAAAGATCCTGAGAGGAGAATAGAGGAGAAGGGATTGCAGCGTGGCCATCCCCCCTGGGGGGTGATTTCTCACCTTCTATCTCTATGTCTCTCTCTGTCTGGTGAGCGCACACACCCTTAGCAAAACCCTCTCAAAAAAAATTTCTGTGTTATATGTATTATATACTATTTTCTTATAATAAAGTAGGTTAGATAGAGAAAAGAAATCATTAGTAAGAAAATCATAAGAAAGAGAAAATATATTTATAGCATTTATTGAAAAAAAAATACATGTAAGTGGACCCAAGCCATCCAAACCCAAACCCATGTTATTTAAGGTTTTATGTGTATGTGTGTGTGTGTGTGTGTGTGTGTGTGTGTAGATACATATGTATAGATAGATAGATAGATATCTTTTTTTGTTTCTCAGGTTTTTGCCATAGGGTGTATGCACTCACCAGAAAGAGATGGAGGGAGACACTGAGAGGGCAAGAGAACCACGCAAGGGGGGGATGGCCACGCACAATCCCTTCTTCTCCATTCTTCTCCTGGGAATTTAGGCACACGTGCACACATGCCTGGCATGATTTTCAAGCTGCTAGGTCCAGGACTCAAACTGTGATATGCCATGTGGGAGTCCAGTGCCTTACACACTATGCCACCTATAAATCTTTATTTTTTTAAAAAGGTTTTTGCCTTAGGCAGCATGAGCTCACTGGAGAGAGACAGAGAGAGTGAGATGGAAAGTGAAAAATCACTCCCACGGGCAATGGCCACCCCATAATCTCTTCTTCTCCATTCTCCTCCTAGGATTTGGGCATGCACACACATGTGCCCAGTGTGATTTTTCAATCCACTGGGTCCAGGACTCAAACCAAGGTCAGCCATGTGGGAGCCCAGCAACATAACCACTGTGCCATCTGCTGGTCCCCCTATATATCTTCTTTTTTTTTTTGCTCTCCTATATAGCTTCTTGTTTTTTTTTTTGAGAGGTTTTCGCTATAGGGTGCGTGCACTCACCAGACAGACAGAGACATAGAGACAGAAAGCGAGAAATCACCCCCCAGGGGGGATGGTCACGCCGCAATCCCTTCTCCTCCATTCTCCTCTCGGGATCTTGGGCATACACGCACACGCGCCCGGCGTGAGTTTTAGGTCACTGGATCCGGGACGCGAACCGCGGTCGACTACGTGAGAGTCCAGTGACATAGTCATTACGCTAACTGCTTGTCCCCCCCCCCATATATCTTAAAACAATGCCTAGCCTTGGGTGAGCACTATAAAACTGTCACACTCCTATGGCTATGTTGAATCTGTGACCCCAAACGTGTTCTCTGGACAAGATTTTTTTTTTCTTTTCTGTAAGGCATGTGTGCTCACCAGAGAGAGAGAGAAAGTAAAAACTCATCCATCAGGGAGGCATGGTCATGTTACAATTCCTTCTCCTCCATTCTCCTCTAGGTATTTTGGGCAAGCACACATATGCACTGTAGTGATTTTCAAACCACCGGCCTGGGACTCAAACCGTGAAATCAGCCATGTGGGATGCCCTAACCACCAGGGCCACCTGCTGGTACTATAGACAAACATGTTTTTCGATGGCATATGTATAATCTAAAGCCATATTTGACTCTGTCAATGGATATCTCCCACACATAAAAACGTATCATACAAACTTGAACACACACTGATTTTGCCCACACATTTTCCTTATTTTACAAAGTAAACAGAACAGAAAGATGAAGGAACTTCCCCAAAGTCAAAGAGCAAATAAGTGGCAGAGCCAGAAACAATTCATTAGGTCTGGCTTTCAGCTCCGCCCTCTTTGTTCTGGTCAAGCCCAGCCAGGTATGACAAAAGGAAATTGCTTTTGGCTTGAACATAATTATCTGCAAATACACTGAGTTCCACATTCACGGTCACTATGGATAAAGGGCAAAGTTAAATAAAGTTAAACTCAAGCCGCTGATTTAACCAGTACCATGATTACCCGCTGCAGTGCCTTGTTCTGACTCTTAATCACTTAGGGGAATCAGGTATTTTCAGCTGCTTTTCAGAAGCCACTTCCCTTTAAAAACAGGTGAACTTGCCATCCTGGTTCTTACTGAAGCTATTTTCCTAGGCCACTATTCCAAGTGGGAGGTTGGGAAGAACGCTCTGAGCCAAGCGGCGGGTGGCGACTGCGGAAGGCCATCCGTAGGTCTACGACAGAACTGTTCTCGTGTCTGCTTCCAGGAGAGCGATCCCCCTGCTTTTTCCTTTGGACTGTTACAGCCCACATTCATCCTCAGTGTTTCCTGGCTGAGAATTAACATGGTCTTACCGGAGTTGCGCTCCCCCCGGGGCACTGCTCTGCACCCCTGATAGGTGGACCACAAAGGCCTCTGGCCGGCCAGGGCTGGGGAAGGTCCGCAGTGACACTCCTTCCTTCTGTTCACCGTGGGAAAATGAGACGCTTCCTGCAGGAAACATGGAAAGGGAAGTAGGCCATCATTTCTTAGTTCTTAAATTGAAATGCAACTAAAAACTGGAGTGACATACTTTCTTTTCCAAATTCAATTACATTAAAAAGTAGAAGAGAGCTGGCTCTGGGGCACTGAGAAAGCATCAATCGAGAGCAGTCAGGTCCCACATGGCAGCCACAGTCGCTGGCCTGGGCAGCCTGAAACACGCCAGGCACACGCCTGGGTGTTCAGACCAGCGGGCAGGAGGGTCAGACGGGGACTGGAGTGTGACCAAACCCTGTGGAGGACACTCCTCCCTCTCGATTCTCTCAGTGTGTGTGTGTGTGTGTGTGTGTGTGTGCGCGCACACGCACACACGTGCACTGTAAATATGCTCTTCGATGAATAAAGAAGAAAACACTGTAAAGAGGAGCAGAAAGGTACATAAACGCGAAGGAAGCTCCCTAGACCACACAAATCTTGCTTTCAATCCTTGTCATGTCTTTCTTTTTCTTTTCTGGTCTATCACAAAGCTAGGAGTGAAGAAAGAATGGTATTGGGCAGCCTTAGAGGGGATGTGTGTTTGGTGTTAGGCTTTAGTATAAATTCTGCCCTAGTATATTGCTAAAGATGCATATTGAAGTAGTTCAGGGTCATAATGTATATATTTTACCTTAAATTACCTCAGAAAACTTTGTCACAAATATGGTGAAATACAACCACCATTAAATCTAGTCAGTGAGTTTATATGGATGGTCATTGTACTTTTCACTTTTCATTATGTTTGTGAAGTTATTATGGCTTTTTTTAAGTGTATGTGTACACGCACTCACACACACGCGCGCGCACAGAGTCTTACTGTGTTGTGATTCTCCCACCTCAACCTCGCCAGTAGCTGAGACCACAGGTCCATGCCACCATACCCAGGCCTTTAGGATGGAACAGGAATCGAACCCAGGCTTCCCCTGTGGCCTCAGCCTCTTGATCTGTAGTATCCAGGCAATGACACTATGGCTGGGCTTAAAAATATACTAAAAAAAATACTAAACAAACCTATTTAAAGATATAGAGCTATCATTTGGGAACTCGGATTATTTTATTTTAATCAAGCTAGAATTTCAGTAGGACTTTCAATGATTGATTTTATATATAAGCACAAAGCCACACACATACTATAAAGAATACTATCTCAATACACAAATCTTTTCATCCCTAGCAAATGGTTACTAATACAAAAAGAAAAGACCAAGCTAAATTATATGGGTGTGCTAATCACCCAAAATGACAAAAAAGGAAAGGGAGTAAAAGGTAAGGAAGGGTGAGTATCAGTAGAAAAAAAGTGGGGGGCGGAGGCGTCTAGAAAGCAGACAAGAATGCTAAATAAGTAACTCTAACCTGGGGAATGTGTCAGGAGAAAGAGAAAGAGCATCTGGGTTCGATGCCCAGATCTGGGCTGAAGAAACAAGAGTACCAAGGCAGCTATGGGCTCTGATGTCCCCAGTCAAGCACCTACGTTCACTCTCTATTTACTGGATTCCTG